GCAGACTTGGTTGACACATGTCATAGTATCCCATTTGCGTAGATCGATGTTCATGTTGTTGATCACTGGATTGTCTCGCCCAGACTCGATTATTGATAATAGACCGTCGCCATATAACTGGAATATTGCTGAGTGCCCCGTTAAACAACAATCAAGCAAGAAACCAACCAACAAACAAATCAATTAAAATTTGCTCGCCAATTTGTAAAAATGTGTTGCAAAATTGTAACAAAGATTGTAACGTATTTAGAAATAGCCAGAGTGAATAACTCTGGTTTAAAGCCATTTAAGACGTCTTTTTTTTAATTGGTATACTTGAAAGTCAAGAAAGTAGAAAAAATACCCAATTTAGAGTTTTTTCATTTCCAGAGAGTCTGAAAAACCCACTTAGCAACAGAATATGTGACAAATTGTTTTCATGTCTGTCTTAAAAAAGACTAATTTTCCACGACCCAGAGAACGAACACGCGCTTCCCGAAAGACTTTGTGGCAAAGGGGAATTCTGTTTATAGCTGTTGCATTGAGAAGAAGCTTTGAAAAATTACCGCACGTCTTGAGTATAGAGCGCACCCAGCTGCTGAGCATAAGCGTCGTAACAATTCATCGAACAGGAGATAAGAGACTAGACCAATGAAATGTGTATTTAAACATCTCAAGCCTTGGTAATTGACCACTTAAATTGAAATATCTCTTGCCATGGTAATTTACCATTTAAATCGTATTTCCCGTTCTACTGGATATTGTTGCATATGAAGAGAATACGATCACCGAAGATTTCTTCTCTTAATGAGACGGATAAATCGAATGAGCAAGTAGTCGTACATTTTCTCTCAAAGAATCCACGGTAATTCTGTAAAGAATTACCCAGTAATATGATTTGTTAAAATACTCTTCTTTACACAATGAAGAAAGGTTCAATGCTCACAAAACCGACTATCGTATGGTAGCAAATCAGCTGTACACGCATTTTATCCTGGAATAACAGGTGATTTTGTAACCACCAATACCCAATAATATTATTTATAAATTAAATCCCGTGTTAAGGAATACTCACATTTGGGTATGTATTATACCCACTACACACTGTGGTAGGAAACCACCTGTACAAACATTTTATCAAGGAATAACTGGTGATTTTGTTAAGAACTATCCAATAATATTGTTTATAAACAAAATCCTGTGTTAATAAAACATATCACATTTAGGTATGCACTATGCCCTCTAACCCCAACCCACTTGATGTAGCTCCATCCCCGTCCTCACAAAACAGTTGTACTTGTTTTAATGTACCCACTGTACACAAGAGTGAGTGAGTTTTTAATGGTACAGAGCATCAAGATGTGAACCAAGGCTGTGTGTGAGAATCATACAAAACTTTGTGGTCGATCAGTGGTCACTGTGACGTTGTGGTGTATGATTGAATGGGTATGGTTTTACGCCCCTTTTAGCAATATCCCAGCAATGTCACGTCACAGTACGGTCCTTGTTGGTTCAATTTTCTATCGATCCCCCAGGCAATTGGACATTGCCACACGGAGACAAAAGGAATATGATGTTCGTCCCACTTTGGAAGATGATCCAGTACCATCTGAAACTGTGTGCAGCAAGTGTGGTTATTCCGAAGGGGGATTCAACTGGGTCGCAGCTTAAAATCCAGTTTCTGTTCTGTTACAATTTGGTACCAAATATTTGTGCCAATGCCGTTTTTCAGAAAAGAGTCCGTCTTGTTTTGACAAAAAAGTCTCCAAAACGTAATTGAAAGTGCCTCAGTACTATCATAGCGGGGACCTCAATTAAGGGCTTCACGCATTCTACCAATTTGGGAATCGAACCCGAACCGCTGGCGTGAAGACCGAATGCTATCCGCCAGGATCCTACACCAAAATATATACATTCATTTGAACTTATAATATATGACACTTCGTGTAGTGCATAGACTCAAACCGCAATTCGATGTCCAGTTGATTTCATTAGGCACGCCAGGACACTAGGAAATGCGGTTCGAATCCTTGTTCGACCCAATTATTATTTTTTATTTATCATCACCATATCACTGCCCATGGGTTTAACCTAAGTGGTAAACCTCTATGACCTCCATAACTTCGGGACTTCCTCCCTATTAACCAGACACGCTGCGATAAATCTGGAATAATATTCCAGCTGGGGTCAATCCCAACTCACCCACTCACTCTATGCAGATTTAATCTACATGTGGTACGAACGATAAATTCTGACCAAACCACTCCTCGGCGTCTGTACTCACCTTAAGACTGAAAATACTTCAGCGTTAGCCGGTAATCAAGTGTGAACCTTTAATTTGGCAGCCACGTTCATAACAAGAACACTTCATTTCCATCCTTAATGACTTCCAAACTGGAACGAGAGCGCTGAAAATGCAAAGCATATGTTGGCGCGGTGGAAAATTGATTTTGAATCAAGGCTCTAATTAGCTACCCCCAACAGCAACGTGTATGTATGTTTTTGTAACTTGCCGTACTATGTGCGAAGTAATAGATTTGCAAGCAGGGAGAGTGCGTGTTGTTTTGCCAACAGGTCTATCCCAGTAAAGTATTTGTCAGATAGTACCAATATGTAATTTCATACCTGCTTAAAAACAATTGGACTTGCTCACCTGGGATGCTTCACTGTTTATGTGCAAAATATATCAAAATAACATGTTTGACGTCATATTGTAAATATATGCTGGGGAGGTAGACTCGTTAAAAGCGCCATGTGTTCAGTGTAGCCTGTAATACATGTCAATCAGTGAGTGTACTACGAACACACAACGTCGGGTTTTTGTTATAGATAACGCTACTGTGTTATCACTTATAACGTTATTGTTCTTTACAAAAGGTGCCTGGATAAGACCTGTGTATCTCATGTTTGTCTCAAGAACGAAAAATGTGATCGGGGCAGGCTTAGTCATGTGGTTAAAGCGTTCGCTCGTCACGCCACATGACCGGGTTCGATTCCCCACGGGTGTACAATATGTGAATCCAATGTCTGCTGTCCCCGCCGTTAAACATATTGCTTCCCGGTGTTTGCAAGCGGCGTAAAAGACAACGCACTCACTAAAATGTGGCTAGGTTATTTATGTATCACCATTCCCAGATAGCGTGGGTCAGTGCTCGTGATTTCACCCACCGGTTTGCCTGGCTCTGATTCAGAAATTTACAATCTGATACAGTTCAACCTTGCTGCCGAGTTTCCAGCAACATTCATCATTCACTTGCTCAAAGCGCGTCAGAGGTTGAGCGCGTTTGCCATCATTGATCCACGACGGAAAAGCAGCAACACCTCGCAGTGTAGCTGAATATGATTTATGATGATAACTGTCACACAATTCATGACGCTTCACGGCTGCGGGAAAAGGAGTTACTGCCTCAGTGCATGACGCTCACACACGACGATGCTGTATGCTGTATGCCGTGTGTAGTATTGTTTCACGTGGGCGTTCCGTACCATTATCGGTACCGTCGCGAGCGTGGCTTGGGACTGGCGTTTGCAATTATATCAAAGCTTCGTTAGAATTTACTCCTGTTTGTTAATCAAAGATGATGATTATCAGGATAACACATGGATGATATGTGACTTTTCACATATTCATAAAATGTCACCATCCTGTCAACGAGGATGTATTCAAATCAATACTGATACTCAGGATTAAACGTGCTCATGTAGGCTGAATAAAGATTTTTCCTGATTATGAAAACGTTATTTTGTCGAGCATATTTACATTGTACCCAATTCTGAATAAAACACAGGCCTTTGGTGTGTTTAGCGAACGTGCCAACCACTAGGCTACCTAACCACCTCTACGAAATGTGAAATGGGAACCAAAATTAGATTCTATCGTCGCGTCGATCGGGGAACTTTCATCACCTGATATCGTACTCTCTGTGGACAAAAACAAATTTAGTCTATATATGGGAAATCCATGAAGGAAACGGGCGTGTTCTTTTTGAAACGTCTTTTTACACGAAAACACGTGAAATCACTCGCAGTTAATCCTTACTTGCCAATCACATTGCTCCTATATGTGACGTTCCGTTAGTTCATAACAACTTTAAAACAGACTAATCCATCGTACATCGACCATATTTGAAAATAATGAAGATATTGATTGTAGTATCGGTGAAAACCTATTTAAAGAATTGGGATATAAATTCTTGTAACCAAAAAGTGGTTGTGGAATCTGTGTGACACGTTGACACCTGGGGGTTCTTGCTGTCAATCACGTCAGATGTATAATAATTTTTTCCGAAACGTATCAGTTCTAATTGTGACAAATTTTCTCAGAACAAAATGTTTTATTTGGGTAGAGTTCCAATGTACAGAACCTGAAGTGACGATTTTCTTTTCGATTATGGAGAACTTCGACAGCTTAAATGATGAAGGGTAGGAGTGTGGGATGGGGTGGGGTAGGGATGGGTTGGGGTCGGGTGGGTGTGGGTGAGTGAGTGGAGGGCTGTGTGTTGGGATGTTAGGGGATCCGGTGAAGACTATTGGATGCATCGTTGATTTCTAACATTGAAGACTTTAAATCTATTCCCTCCATCGATAGGTTTCGTGAAATGTATTCCCGTCTTGCCGTAAGCGGCATAAAATCCTATTCAGTCACAAAACCGGTTAAACAATGCAACGTCATAATATAACTTAAGTTACAAACTAATTTAAAAAGCATAATATTATTTTGACATCATATGAAGAAAAGGTTGTTCAAGAGCACTAGCCAAGTGTGATAATTAGACACAGTGTTGTCTCCATCCGATCGTCAAAGTTCATTTACCAAGGCCTTTCTCATTTATCATGAGTCTGCCATGTCTTAGATCTTTCAATAGCTCCAGGCTAACAGCATCCTTACATCCAATATCAGAGAAGCCGATGGGTACATCATATACTCACACCAAATGATGCATTTAGAGGATAATTAAGATGTTAATACGAAGTCGCTTGGTATTGGTTTTTAGTTCATTTCATGACACGGGATACCAAGTGTTAACGTCCCTCAGATTAAAACGCTAATCCCTCTGTTACCTGAGGCTAATACCACGGGACATATCTACAAATTCCGTCAGTCACCTACTGGCTTCATGTCTGGGGTATTTGTCTTTGTGTTCTAAGACTGGGCGATAAAGTTCCAGCGCCCATGCTCCTTCCTCAAACGCTGGGAGAGGAAGCGCCTCAGTTGTACGTGGTCGAGGGATGTTCAGATTCGCTGCTAGACAGTCAACGGGCTGTCATGTAAAATAGCCTCCTCGAGGAAAGGCGTGGTTTGGGTACAAAAGACGCCGATAAAAAAGTTTACAAAGTGTGTTCAGCATGAGAATCTCGTGGGAGGACGAGTGATCAATACTCTCTGTACAGTGATCACACACAGTTGATCGCCGTCGGCTCGCCAGTCTGCACTTGTTAGTCCTGCATAGCCTAAGTGAATGAAAGTGTGACCGCTACCTGGACTCTTGGAATATCGGGTTCGGACCAGTTTTCCATCATGGTCAACGACAGTGACGGCTCCACAGAGTCTGTATATTACGACTTTGACCCGTCACAGGCGTTCTACCCTGGTGAAAGGCGGCACGTCCCGCATTGGGAGATATGGATAAAATGCGTGTTTTATACAATTATAATTGGGTTTTCACTGCTTGGCAACATTTTGATTGTCCTGATTGTGTATCGTCACAAACGAATGAGGACTACGACGAACTTCTACATTGTTAACTTGGCAATTGCTGATCTGATGGTGACGGTGTCGTGCACGTGGGTCTCTCTCGTCGACGACGTTACAGAGGGATGGGTGCTCGGGGAGTACTTCTGTAAATTCAACACTTTTGCTCATGGTAAGAAATAATTCTTCTTTCACGAATCAAAGCTGGATCAATGCATTTTGATGTACCCCAATGGCGTATGACTTGTGACCTTACCGTTTGTACTTACTTATATAAGTAGTATTTTCCAAGATACCCACATTCGGAAACATTAACGTTCAATTATTAAGGGTACTTTTATCCTTTTACATGGAACGAATCAAAGCTGTATCAATGTATTTTGCTTTACCCTACTGGTGACCTTACCGTTTGTACTTACTTACAAAAGAAGTACTTTCCAAGATACCCAAATTCGGAAACATTATCGTACAATTATTAAGATTATCTTTATAGTTTTACATGGAACGAATCAAAGCTGTATTTGCTGTTATCCGACTGGTGTGTGACTTTGCCGTTTGAACTTATGTAAGAAGTACTTTCCAAGATACTCAAATTCGGAAACATATACGTTCAATTATTAAGGGTATTTTTATTCTTTTACATGGAAGGAATCAAAGCATGTATCAATGTACTTGCTGTTACCCTACTGGTGTGTGACTTTACCGTTTGTACTTATATAAGAAGTACTTTCCAAGATACACAAATTCTGAAACATTAGTTATTAAGATTTAGTTTAGCCGTAGAGGGACTTTCAACATAACGCACCATATGTTTGTGTATTGCTGCTCATCTGTATCTATATTACTACATCCTACGTAGTTGAACATGGTACTTGCTACAGCGCTCATATTGTAAAATCGGATGGTGGTGGAAAATGGATGACTAACCGTAAGCCATTCATATGGACTGGGCATGTGGATCCTGTCCCAAACGGAAACCCATTTTACATATGCTGTCGTGAGGCAAGTGGCTTTGTTTGTAAACCGCCTTTGTTCATCCAGAGATGGGTACCTGGAAGGATGAGACAGTAGCACGAACATCATAGAATTCGAAAGCACACCGGCCTCTCTCGAAAATGATCTTTTCATCACCCTGAAGGAATGCAAGACTTACGTTTATAATCAAATTCAGTATCAAACTTCCCAAATATGATTAATAGAAGAGGTCGCTCTTTGAGAAGACGCCCTTCTGCGTGAAAAAACGCCACTTACAGAGTACAAGTTCTTTTTTCATGGAACTTAAGCCACTTTAAACTTAACACTGGCTTAAACTTTCTTAGGTTGTTAAGTAACTAGTTTTATTAAAATCAATTTGTCATATATATTTGTATCGTAAAGCAATGCATCCACTTGGTATGATTGAGTTCGGGTTTTCAAATTTACGCGGAAAGCTTACCTGTAAAATATATCTTAGTTTTTAACTGAAAAGAATTTAAACGCTACAAATGTAAAGGCATCCACGTAGAATTCAAGACAGTGACCATTGCCCTTGCTGAAACCATTTTCTTCTGCAGTCCGCTGCCCCAATTTACAAGTAATTAGATCGTTTGTGGCAATTACTCTAAGCGGATTGGTGTGTGCCGTGTAATGGCTAAACGAAACTGCATTTAGACGAGGATTTACCAATACTGACGTGGTCAATGGCTTGCTAGTTGGTGTTGATGAGTTTATGTACCACATGATTCGAAAAGATTGGTTTGTATTCAGGTTTATAGTGAATACAAATATTGACATATCCAATGTGCTGCTGGAATCATATCTGTACATAATTGTACATACCCACCGCAGTATGTTAGTTGTCTGTTTGTTACACATATATCTTACTTTCCACAGAAAATGAATACATAATACACTCGGAAGTTCAAAAGAGTTACTGTAGAAACATAAACAATATATCACTTTTTAAATTGAATGGTTCTCTTGCTGCCTTAGACAAAGAAGATGTCAGGCAGTGGGAAGTTTCCAACACGAATGCAGACATTTGTACATTCCTTTCTTAGGATGTGAATCAAATCAAACTGCAGCGATGCGCTTTTGATGAACGAAAGTCTGGTTCTGCCATAAACGTTTCACACTTGAAGTGACATAGATCCTTCTGAAAATAATACTTTGTCAATATTTCACATTCCGGAAGCTGTCATACGTGGGCTGTCGAGTGGACAGTAAATTAGTGTTCCAAGCAAAGCTCATGACAGCGACTTCAGTGTTGGAGGGTCACTTTGATGGATGGACATCTGGAAACAAACCCTTGAGTGACAATTCTTCAAGCATTGGACTGATATTTTGTTTATTGTGGTCGTATCTTCCGTTGAAAACTGAAGCTTTCTTTCCACTGTTACTTACAGTTTATAACCCGATAATGTTTTGCAGGTATGTTTAGTGAAGCGTAAACCCCACAAGCACGGGAAATAAGCTAATGAGGAATGCTCATGGCAGTGTTGAGAATAATGATGCTTACATATCTGCATCAGTGTATCCTGTATCCCATAATCACAACATACGTTGGCCTCAACTTCAAATACCACACGCATGTGATTTTATTAATTAATATCACATATGATGAATACATATTTCAGAAATTCTGTCAAATTCCTTGTTTTTAAATTTGGATAATGATGGATTCTGATTTCAAAACGCCACCATTACCAATGTCAGAATATTGAGAATAATGATGTCTTTCGGTGCAATTTGAAAATGTCAACTTCACAGATGTGATTTTATTAATTACATCACATATGATGGATACATATTTCAGAAATTCTGTCATTCCTTGTTTTTAAATTTGGATAATGATGGATTCTGATTTCAAAACTATGTCAGAATATTTATGTCTTTGCAATTTGAAAATGTCATCACAGATGTCTTTCAATTACATCATACTTGACTTCTATTTACTACGTGACAGCGTTGGACAATGCTGTCTGGGGTGTAAAAGGAAACATTTGCCTTTTTTACTCAACTTTACTCCAGACTCGATTCTTTACAGACCGCCGCCATACAGCTGCTATATTGCTGAGTACGGCGTCAACAAACAAATAAAGAAACCATATTATAATGAACAAGAATCGATCAAAACAATGCATTATAAATGCATAACCGTAAATGAAAACATTTAGTGTATGTTTACCGAAATCTATTAGCAAAGCCTGCGGCACACTTAACGCACTGATTTATTCATAGACGTTAAATTGTGAGTCAGAACACTACATAAAACACAATTAGATCTCGACTGACGTCTTGATCTAATATCATAGTCTACCATCGGGTAGACATGCTGGCTGTATATTCTGCCATTACATCCACTTCGTGCATAGCTTGCTCGTAATTATATGTGTATTTTTGGATGCATCCCACAAACAACTGCTCAAAAATAACATGAGCTGTTATTTCAAGTGACAAGTTGACTGCATAATCATATAGTTATCCAAGTATATGTTTCCAATAGAAAAAAGCTGTGTCTGTGAATTATTTTTACGAAAGCGTTGTAGTCCTGTGCGAATCAATATTTTAGAATAGGCAAGGCCAGTGTTTGGACCAAGAGCTTAATAGTTACGTTACTTTGAAAAATGCTATTTTCCATTTAAAGTGAACTGTCTACGTATTAACATAGTGAATAGAAATTTGAAATCGGGTTCCAGATACAGAGACAGCATATCCTATGCTGGAAAGAAAAGCGGTATACTGCAGACTTCACCGTGATGTCAGTCCTCCTGTAGTTTTGTTCCCTAAGGCATGATGGGTCAGAGAAAAGTCCAAGCATCACCTGCTTCTCGTAAGAGCCCACTTAAGAGGGTTGATTGAGTCGAATGTTCACACAGAAGGATTTGCTGTGACAATTGTGTATAATAAGCACAGGTCTTTGGCCTTTGGCCTTTGGGGTGTGTGTGTGTGCGTGTGTGTGTGTGTGTGTGTGTGTGTGTGTGTTAGCCTAATGGTTAAAGCGTTGGCTCGTCACACCAAAGACCGGGATCGATTCCTCACATGGGTTCACTGTGTGAAGCCCATTTCTGGTGTCTCCGCCGTGATTTTGTTGGAATATATCTAAAGGCGTGAAACTAACTCACTCACTCACTTTGGCTTTTGGAAAGGGGACAGACGTCGGGAACATACGGTGATCAGGTACTTGAATATTGTTATTAAGACAAGTTTCATCCTGTCACAAATCGCTGCAAGATCCTTTCTGGATCAGCTTCAAACAGCTTCACACCTCCGTGCAAGTATTGGATAGTTATAGATCTTGATTTAGTTGAACGTGTGATGTCGATCCGGGACAGCGTGGGTCCGGGACAGCTCTTGCTGCTAATCACACCTTTATCTGGGACAGACAGGTAGTGTATGCAGTCCATCGTGTACTTGTAGTTTTGCTGAATTCAGCGTTAAAAATCATTCTCTCACTGCAGTCTTTCGAGGGAACCGTATCCTTTTCAAACAACTGCACATGTTTAAAGATACGTGTCTGGGTACAATACCGAAGAAAACCCATGTCTACTTCCATGGTATTCTAAAACTAGAGATTATATACTGGACCAGTTCAGAATGCAGTGAGTTTTTTCTTCAATGAATTAGGGAGAATAAAAGTGAACATCGGAAACACGATATAATGATTCCACGAGGACATCACTTGCTACAAAACTCTCAGGCATGCCAAATCCAGTATTGATACAGGGTGTTGATAGAATATTTATTTGATCATGGTTTGTCGTGCGCTAAGGATAATAGCTGAATGGTTTCTTTTGTTAAAAACCTAATTTCTGCTCTTATTTGTTCAGCTCATCTGCCAAGTAATCAAAGAATTTCAAGAGGACGATCTGTAAGACGTACGGTGATGGAAATGCAGGAATAAGAAACTCGTTATTTCTTCTCAACAGGCGGCACGTGCTGATGTTTCCAATCAAATGCAATTCATCACGACCCATTTGTATAAATTTAAACTACCGCCATATCAAGTGTTTTTTGCTAAACTGTTTTGTCAGATCCAGACTATTTATCTAAGCATTAATCTGAATAAACCCGCTGTGGGCATGACTTGCCACTTTACATCGTGACGTTTGTTCTATCGACTGTCAGTGCATATTCATCCAGGAAAGCCTTATTTCATTTGATCTTCGTTTACACTTAGAGGATATTTGTTCT